TCCCAAAGGAAAAGCTGCAAACCATACTAGCAAAATCTTGGCAAGAGAAGCGTGAGTTCAGAGTGCAAAAACTCTTCTAAAGGCACTGCACAACCAAATGGCCAGCAGGTAGCTCTCTCACAATCCGCACACCCACCGAACTCTTACTGCCTGACATGCTGTCTCACGCTTAATTCATTAGCGATGCTGTAAGAAAATATCATAAACTGGTAACCGATTCATGATGGAAATTTGTTTCTCATAGTTCTGGAAACTGAAAGTCCAAGATTGAGGCGCCTGGCAGATTCCAGGTCTGGAGGGAGCCCACTTCCTGATTCATAAATGGTGCTGTCTTGCTTGTTATGTTTTCACATGATGGTACGGACTAAGAATTGCCTGGGCCTTTTTTTTTTTTTTTTTTTTTTTTTTCTATTGGATGCATGTACTCACCAGAGAGAGGCAGTGAGAGAGATGAAGTGAGAAGTCACTCCTTGGGGAGATTCCTCCATTTTCCTCCATTCTCTTGGGATTTCGGGCATGCACACATATGCATGCATGCCTGGAATGATTTTCATTTGTTGAGTCCTGGACTTGAACTACAGAATTGGCTATGTGAGATCCAGCCACCTTAACCTCCATGCCACCTGCAGTCTTTGGGCCTGTTTCATTAGGGTACTAATGCCATTCATATGGGCTCCACTCCATCGACCTAATCACCTCTAAAGACCCCACCCCTAATACCACCATTAGGGGTTGTAGGATTACAACATGTGAATTTGGGTATTGTATTATATTTTCAGACCATGGCACATGCCTCTGGAATTTTTCAACTGATCCTTTGTCTCACTCCAGGGTGAGACTTTAAGTACAAACTGCAGCTGTAACAATCAACTGAATCTTCACTTTTTCTGAGAAGGAAATGTTTCCTAACCCCCTCAGGTGAAGGGGACTGCTGTCTCTGCTTTTTACTACTCTCAGTATCCCGCCTCTTCATAGCACACTTTGCACACATACGTAACACTGATGTATATGTGTGTTGGGGCATGTATGTCTAGGAGACGTTCATTGCCATCTGGTGGTGGAGACACACATGTAACATACCATACATCTCCTATCTAGGTAGCTATATGTAAGACATTTGGGGACAACGGTGTGGTGGGTAAGGCACTGGCTCCCACATGGCTGACCGAGTGGCTGAGTCCTAGACCTGGAGGCTTAAAAAATACACTGGGCATGTGTGCAGAATTGTCCAAAATCCCAAGAGGAGAATGGAACAGAAAGGATTGTGGTGTGGCCATTCCCCCTGGGGCGGAGTGATTTCTTACTTTCCCTCCCTCTGTGTCTCTCCAGCTAGCACACACACCCTATGGCAAAAACTAAGAATAAATAAATAAATGAATGAATAAATAAAATAAAATGTCCAAGGCACAGAGGACTTGATCTCATAGTAACGTATTTGTTGGGTGCACAGACACTCAATGGCTTTATGCAAGGAGATGTTATAATTAAGTAAAGCATTGCTCAAACTGCCCCACTAGAAATTCCCCATGATTTTAATAATTTTTTTTTTTCTCTTGGAAAAATAAAAAAGATTGGGGTTAACATGTGACATAGTGGTTGTGATGCTGGACTCCCACATTGCTGACCGTGGTTTGAGTCCTGAACCCGGAAGCTTGAAACTCACACTGGGTATGTGTGAGTGCATGCTCCAAACCCCGAGAGGTGAATGGAGAAGAGATTTTGGTGTAGCCATACCCTGCAAGTGTGTGTGCGTGCGTGTGTGTGTGTGTGTGTGTGTGTGTTTCACTTTCTCTCTGTGCCTCTCTCTGTGTCTCTGGCGAGTACACACACCCTATAGCAAAAAATCTCTCTTTCTAAAAAAAAAAAAGATTAATTAGTGAAATTAGTGCAACAAATTCAAAAGTCAAATAAAGCTAACCATTTCAATGTGTTCTTTAATTTTTCCCTATAGTACTTCTCAGAACTCTTTTTAAAAAATTTCCACAGTGTAGGGATGATGTGGTGGTTAAGAGCACTAGACTCTCACATGACTGACTGCGGTTCAAATCCCACACCTGGCGGCTTACTTTTTCACTTTCTCTCTCTCTCTCTCTCTCTCTCTCTCACACACACACACACACACAAACACACACACTCTGTACCTCTATGGTCAAAATTAAAGATAAATGAGATTAATAAATAAAGTTAAATAAAATAATTCTTAAAAAAATATTTCCACAAGTTACGTGTGTTTGCCAGAAAGAGATAGGGGACGGGGGAGGAGAGAGCAAGAAAAAGAGAGAAACATCCTTCACTGGGGCGTGGTGACGCTGCCAGCCTTTCTTCTCCATTTCTCCATCCTATTAGGATTTTGGGCAAGCACACACACACACACCCTGCATATGCTTCTTCAGGCACCAGGGTTGGGATCTGAGTTGTAGTTAGCTGTGTGGGATCTAGCTCCTTTAATGCTCAGGCCATGGGCAGGCCCAGGAACTCTGAATGTGTTGATGGGCACTGTGACTCTCTGAAGGTGAATTAGTCTGCAGCATTTTTAGCGATATCGATATAGAATTCCTTCTTCTCTACGTACCCCAGAACAGAGTTTGGAAAGACTAGCTTAGTCTTTGCTTGATTTGGGCTCCCTTTTTAAGCCTGCATTTCCTCATCTGCAAAAGAGGGAATAATGTCTATATCTGATAATATTTTTGGCAAGATAAAAGATGTATAAAATGGCTAGGAGATCCCAGTTGGTGTTAACAATTATGATTATTAATAATAATATGTTGGGCCATCCCTGTAGTCCAGTGGTTAAGGCAGTGGATCTTACATGGGCAAGTAAGATAGTTTGCATATCTGCTCCAGCTGTTTGAGAAACACCAGGTGCACGTGCATGCATGCCTCAAATCCCAACAGAACAGAGAAACAGAGGAGAAGAAATTGTGGTGTGACCACAGCCCATGGGGAGCTGCTTCCTCTCCCTGTCTCTCTGTCCATCTGTGGCAAGCACACATGCCTCTGGCAAATAATAATAATAGTAATAGTAAGTCTAGGAGCCAACTATTCCTCTTTAGGTCTCTATCACCTAAAGAGATTTGAAGCTGAGTTGAATTCAGACTAAGCACACGGACCAGCTTTATGTAGGTGTCTAAAACTGCTTCCCTTCTATATATATCATTTGACCTTTTAACAGTTAAAATTAGTTAGTTCTGTCCTGGCCATGGTTCCATTTCTTTGTATCTTTAAAAAAAAAAATAAAAGAAGAAAAAAATGAAGTTGAACTAATAACCTCTAGTATATACTCCCTCTAAATTTACAAGGCAAGGGACCAGAAGATGGCATTATGGTTATGTTGCTGGACTTCTACATATTCAACCATGATTCAAATCCCGAACCCAGCGACTTAAAACTCACATCAGTGCATGTGCATGTGTACCCAAGATCCTGAGAGGAGAAGAGGAGAAGGGATTGTGGCATGGGCATCACCCTTGGGGGTTATTTTTTGCTTCTGTCTCTCTAGTGAGCACCTGTGCCCTACAGCGAAAAAACTCTCAAAAAATAAATAAATAAATGTACAAGGTGAAATATAAGTAATTTTCAAGTTGCAACAGATGGAATTTGTACTTTTTAAAAGGGTGGATGATTACAAAGGAAGCCTTACTGTTCACCACTGTTTTCTCCAGTTAGAAATGCCACTTTAAACTGTTCCTACTAACATTCTTTTATTTTTTAAAAATTATTTTATTTAACTTTATTTATTATTATTAATTTCCAGTTTGATCAGAGAGAGACAGAGAGAGAGAGAAAGTGAGAAAGCAAGCCACCAGGTCCAGGACTTGAACTGTGATCATCCATTTGGGAGTTCAGCACCTTTAACCACCTTGCCACCTGCTGGACCTTAACTTTTTTTTTTTTTTTGGAGAGGTTTTCGCTATAGGGCGCGTGCGCTTGCCAGACAGACAGAGAGACATAGAGACAGAAAGCGAGAAATCACCCCCCCAGGGTGGATGGCCACGCTGCAATCCCTTCTCCTCCATTCTCCTCTCAGGATCTTGGGCAGGCACGCACACGCGCCCGGCGTGAGTTTTAAGCCACAGGGTCCGGGACGCAGAACAGAGGTTGACTAAGTGGGAGTCCAGCGACATAGCCATTATGCTAACTGCTGGTTCCCAGGACCCTAACATTCTTGATAAGAGAAATTTTACTTCTGCTAGTCTGTTTTTCTTAGAACACTATATTGATTACTATATGTGTTTATATAAAACTATATCCTAGAATTAATGCCTTCAACAATTTTGATACATTTCTACTTATGAGCAAGTACAGGGGTGGCAGCTCTTGAAATAAAGCAGATGTCTGTATTTTCAAAGGGAAGGGTCACACCTTGTGAAGCATTTATTTACAAGCTTCGCAACAAGAAGATTCTAAGAACACTTTCAAGAAAGTGGGTCACAGAAACCGATGGGACAGCACAGCTTTCCCAACTTCCTGGCCTGGAGGACATTGCAAAAGACACCGAAACAGGGAAACAGGGACGTTGTGCTGGCAGAAGAGATTTGCAAGCTAAAGTTAATAAACAGGAAGAAAGAACAATGGGTGTTACGATCTGAAGACAGATTCCCATTTTGACTTGATTAGGTTTCTCTCCATTTTTCCAACAACATATCTGGTATAATACATACCAAAAAGGGTGGGTTTAAAAAAAATGTCCTAAATTGGGACTGGCTGGCACATGGTGGTTAGAGGCCCTAGTCTCTCACTTGGTAAACTGTGGTTTGAGTCCCGGACCTGGAGGCTTGCTTTCCCTTTCTTTCTCTGTCTCCTTCTGGTCAAAAAAAAAAAAAAAAAAAAGATAAATAATAATAACAAATAAAAATTAAATACATCTTAATAAAAGTCATACATTAGTGTTTAGAGAAACTTCAGGAATACTTTTGGAATAATCTTTGCAATACAACAACAAAACCACATTTTAAAAATCGAAAGTGAAATTAGTTTTAACTTTTTGTTTCCTTTCGTGAACGGCCATAGAAAACAGCGGGCTTGGTATTTTGAGCAGTGGTAAAGTTTGACGGAAAAAAATCGCCATCTGAGCAACTTTCTTTGTTTTTTCTTTCTTTATTAAAATTAATGTCTGAGTTTTAGGAACTAAGCTGTTAGAGCAAGACGTCCTTTGAACGACACCTGCGAACGTCAGAAGCACTCCACCTCCAGGCAGCGCCAGCGTTGACGCCGGGACGTCCCCGCCCATCCCTCCGGGGGTTCCGGCAGCGGGGGCGACGCAGGTTTCCCGGAAGGGCGAGCGCGGTGGTCCGGGGGCGCTGCACTTGGCGGGCGGACTCCGGTGAGTGGGGTGCCCTGGTCCCCGGCTGCCATCGAGCTGGAGGGGAAAGGTGCTGAGGGCGGCGGGGGGACAGAGCTGGCCAGGGCGGGGGTGGGAA